TTCCAAACAGGAAACGATTGCTGACTCTACTACAGAGGCTGAGTATATTGTTGCATCTGATGCTGCAAAAGAAGCTGTTTGGATAAGGAACTTCATCCAAGGGTTGGGTGTAGTACCATCCGTTGTTGACCCAATAATGATTTATTGTGATAACAATGGGGCTATTGCGCAAGCAAAGGAGCCAAGATCTCATCAAAAATCCAAACACATTATGAGGCGATACCATTTGATTAGAGAAATCATTGGTAGAGGCGATGTCGTGATGGAGCGAGTCGACTCAGCAGAAAATATAGCAAACCCCTTAACTAAGCCTTTATCACAGAAAGTGTTCGAAGGACATCTTGAGAAGATGGGTCTTAGATACATGAGTGATTGGAACTAGGGCAAGTGGGAGATTGTTAGAGTAGGGTACCCGGCGTTCCAATCTAATTGGACGTATTCTACTTGTAAATACAGTCTATTGGAATTATATTATGAATAAGGCATTTCTTTATCTTAAGAGAAAGCATTTATCTTATAATTGCACTTAAGATAAAATCCCTAGATCACTTATGGTTATAAGGTATGGTTGCGCATAGAGATGGTGATCATGGAACATACCTTGAAAGCCGTGATCTTAAATACAGTTCCAAGTCGATGGATGTTTCGAGATGGGATATCGAATAATCCATAAAAGACTTGCACATAGTTTGTATGCTTGTTGGACAAGAATGTTGCATTCCATCAACATTAGCGTAAGACGTAAGTACATTTATGTGGGTGCTTGTTAGAGAACAAGTTCACTGAACATGACCGTATGAAAATTCTTAATGAAGAATTTATTCAGTCGAATAAGAATTTTCATGTTACAATAGTACATGACTAATCCTAAGACTTGAGGCACAATGGTAACTTTGTGCATATTACATTCTACTTTGATTTATCCTTTTGGTAGCTAGCACTATCGTTTAAAGGGATAAGTTGGGTATTATGTTAATATGTATGGAAGTTTGTTAGTGGCCAATAAAGGATTCGACACTTATGAAGATAAGTGAATTTCCTATGTGTTTCATAGTTATTAATCCAAAGTCCTTGGCCAAGGCAGAGATGAATAGTGATTCATAACAGGGTTAATAAACTTGAAATAGAATCATAGTTATTAAGTCAATTTGGGTTTCGACAAAATCATACCCAAGACTTAATCGGGAAATTAGATGTCGAAAGGATTTTACATGTATGGAGTTGTAATCGGAATAGGTTTACTCGCTATTCACTTAATACTAGATTCATGCTACTTGCTAGGTGTTCCCATGATATGTGGGTTCTTGAATTAAAGGGTTAATTCATGAATAAGAGTTAATGTGATTAACTCAAATTACAAAGAGTTGTAAACCCACTACTAGTATTAAGGTGAACCTAAAAGGTCACACCTATTATGAACAAAGGTGAAAAATTGTATTTCTAAAGAGTTAGAATTAATTGACATAATCTAATTTGATTAGATATCAATTAAAAGGAATATATTAATCAATAAGATTGATTAATTACATTTTGGATATTACTTTAGTAATTAAGGTAATTACTAAATTAATATGTTGGAATTTAAAATTGGATTTTAAATTTCCAAACCAAAATAATAATAATATGATTATTATAATATGGATGTAAATTGGGAAAATGAATATAATAATAAAGTCTTGAAAAGATTCTCAAGATTTATTATTCTATTATTATTTTTATCTTTAAATATGATTTAAGGATTAAAATAATAAATATGATTATAATAAAATGGTGGTTAAAGGTGGTTTGAACCACTTAACATTATTTATTATTTTCAAAGTCAATAGTTAGTAAATTCAAAGTCAATAGTTAGTAAATATTATTTAAATAAAATCTGATTTTATTTAAATATTACTAAATGTTGATTATTTTATGCTAAAATGTTTAGTATAAATAGATGCAAAATGGTTTTGCATTTAAGGTGAATTCATTCCTAAAATTTCTAAGTGTTAGAAAGAAGAATAGTTCTTCATAAACATCAAGAAAGAGTTCTTGAAAATTCCCAAAATAAAATTCATACATATTCCTATACAAGAAAACCGAGACATTCCTACTAGCGAAGGAAGGTCGTCGGAACCGGGCTTCATAGGGTGGATACGTTTAGAGGGAAGACACTTGGATTCCTAAAGTGAGTAACATCAATCCGTTGAAGTTATCAAACCGGGAACCGATTCCCACAATCCACATCGTCGTTGAAGGAGTTCAAGACATTCGGTAAATACTTTGTATTTGTATTTATTTTATATAACAAATCAAAATTTGTATATGGTGCATGTTTTAAAGATTACTATCAGTTAATTCGCAATTAGTATGTACGGGTGTTGTATTTATACGATAAATACTTATTTTGAAAAATTTTAAATTCCGCTGCTTAAAGCCCGTACGGTACTAGCGAACACAACAGTGGGCTCGTCTCAGGAATGGTCAGTGACACGACGACAACACTGCTTGTGACCAGCGACGACATTCTGATAGTTTCGACTGAATCTGTTTCAATGTTTATTTATAGTTTATGATTGGTATATTAGCATATTTCTTTATTGATGAGAAAATTAATATGAGATGAATGAGCAATTTGTCTTTTTATTGATTATTATTTATGTTATTTGAGATATTCATATTAATGTTTTTTGTTTCACTTTATTTTTAATTGTGTCGTGTGTTTATGTTTTAGTTGTTGAGTACATTTTGTGAATGATGTTTAGTCTTTTTCATATTTCTTATTAGCTCTGTCGTCTGGAAAAAATGGTTAGAAGTTCTTATTTGCCGAGGACGTCTATTTTCCATAGTGTTCTGATGGAGCTTATTGAAAAAGGTTTCGCTCGTTAATCTACAAACCGATACTGATGTTGGATAAAAAGATAAGACCAAACACCAATCTCTCCAGTGATGTTGTCCGATTATTGTTCAAGAGTTGCATGCGAAATAAGATATTTGAGCCGGTAAAAGTTATGTAAATAAAAATGCAACATATACTCGTTCCCGATCTGATTTAGAAAAAGGGAATCAGTTCCAAGAATACATAGTTGTCAGAGATGCTTTGTTGTGCTTGTCTGATTGTGAAAGAGAGATCAGAGTTCCGACTTCGATCGGTCCTATTTCCACCAAAGCAGGCATCTTGAAAATGCATCCTATTCAATGAATAGGATATCTATCTAGGGTGATGTATGGAATGTATGACAGAAGTAAAGTCTTTCTATTAATCCGAATGTATAAAAGATTCTAGCCACACTAAGTTGACTACTCTACCATTGAGTTAGCAACCCGAAGAAAATAGAGATTAAAAAAAACTTCCACCCTACAATACGGGGTAAAAAAATATTAAAATAACCTTACTGTAAACTCAACATAAATTGAAATTATTATGATGCCCGTCTTACACAAAATTATAGTATATTTTGAAGACGTAAATTATATATATATATATATATATATATATATATACTTATATGTTAGGAAAACGTAAATTGTATATATCTACTTATATGTTATATACATAGTTACAAGTTATAAACCAAGCATAAACTGAATTTTGGTTGAGCAAAAAATAAAATAAAAAAAATTGTAATCTAGTACGTATAATTTTCATTTATATCCTGAGATCGCTTATAATATGTTTACATATCAATGTTGTACATATTTTAAGTAAAATATATGTTGATATCTAATTTTGGCCTCACTTATTAAAATATTACACTTGGATATGTATTAAATCAATTGTTTTATTTTAGGACCTAAATATAATACCGCTTGTGATAATATCGGGTCCTATATATATATTCCTGATGATGGACACAGATAGATAAGTCTGAGGGGGTTTTACTTTTTCTTCTCTCTTATCACAAAGGGATGAGGTGGTGCAGCAGAGGAGATCTTCTTCCTCCTGCTTCTTTCTTTGGGCTGCTTGATCTTCTTCTTTGTTTTTACACAGAAATTCAACAGAAATTAATATACACAGCAAATACAAACAATATTCAGAATACCCCATGTTGATCAAATTTAGTACATCAACAAAATATAATCAAAAAGTACAAATAAAACCCAAACATCACAATTGTGGTTAGATAATGTTATGTAAATAAAAACACAATACATACTGAAATTATACTGAGTATAAACGTAACATATACTGAAAATATTCTTTGGACAGTGAAATCAATTTACCAAATCTTTTCTCTCCTCATCGCAGCCATCTTCTCCGGCAATATCTGCCCCGCCGCCACCAATTTCTACTCAAACATCACTGTCGTCCCTTCTTCCCTTCTTCCGCCTCTGCCAAACTCGTCGGCTTTAATAAGGCCGAGAAATCAACGGACCTGGACCGCCTCATGCTTTAGAAATCTATCAAGCCATATTCTCTACCTCCGATGTCGTGTCTTTCACCCGTCAAGCCGAGGCCGAAGCCGATCGGGCTATGAACTAGTTTGATATCGCAACCAAAACAACACTTAGAGCTTGAGGATATAAAGAAATAAACACTCACGGAAGAGAAGAATTCTGACAAAACAGCCGGCGATCGAAGTGTACGCAAAGCGGCGGAGACCTAAATGGAGGCGTCCCATTTCGTATTCAAATTGTGCTTCGCCGAAATCTCAGCTTTGCTCTCGTTGGCCATTTTTTCTCTCACAGCTGCAAGAATAAAAATGTAAGACCTGGTGGAATTTAAAAAATCAAAGCAGGCTT